AGGTGTAGCATACACATAATCAGAATGGAAGAGAAAATAAAGGAACAGAAGAAATGAGGTGATAATGACTGAGAATTTCCCCAAATTAATGACAGACACCAAACACAGATCCAGGAAGCTCAGAGAGTACCAAGCAGGATAAATACCAAAAACAAAAAATACAGACAGACTGGCCTGGGCAACATAGCGAGATCCCTTCTCCACAAAACACATTTTTCTTTCTTTTTTTTTTTTTTTTTTTTTTTTTTGTAGAGTCTGGGTCTCACTGTGTTGCCTAGGGTGGTCTCAAATTCCTGGCCTCAAGTGATCCTCCTATTTCAGCCTCCCAAAGTACTGGAATTACAGGCATGAACCACCACACCCACCAAAATAATTTTTTTTTTTTTTTTTTTTGAGAGGGAGTTTTGTTCTTGTTGCCTAGTCTGGAATGCAATGGCGCGATTCGGCTCACCACAACCTCTGCCTCCCGAGTTCAAGCGATTCTCCTGCCTCCGCCTCCTGAGTAGCTAGGATTGATTACAGGCATGGGCCACCACATCCAGCTAATTTTGCGTTTTTAGTAGAGACGGGGTTGCTCCATGTTGGTAAGGCTGGTCTCGAACTCCTGACCTCAAATGATCCACCCGCCTCAGCCTCCCTAAGTGTTGAGATTACAGGCACGAGCCACTGCACCCTGCCTAAAAGACTGTTTTTTAATTAGCCAGGGACTGGGTGCAGTGGCTCACTCCTGTGCTCCCAACACTTTGGGAGGCCGAGGTGGGAAGATGGCTTGAACAGGCACCTGCTCCCACACCCGGCTAATTTTTGTACTTTTAGCAGACACGAGGTTTCACTGTGTCTCCTAGGCTGGTCTGGGCTCAAGTTATCCTCCTGTTTATTTTTCTTTCTTTCTTTTTTTTTTTTTGAGACGGAGTTTCGCTCTTGTTACCCAGGCTGGAGTGCAATGGCGCGATCTCGGCTCACCGCAACCTCCGCCTCCTGCCTCAGCCTCCTGAGCAGCTGGGATTACAGGCACGCGCCACCATGCCCAGCTAATTTTTTGTATTTTTAGTAGAGACGGGGTTTCACCATGTTGACCAGGATGGTCTCGATCTCTTGACCTCGTGATCCACCCACCTCGGCCTCCCGAAGTGCTGGGACTACAGGTTTGAGCCACCACGCCCAGCCCTGTATTTTACTTTTTAAGGGCGGGGCGCCCTCTTCTGTTTTATAAAAGAAACAGTCGAATTCCTACTGGAGGCGATGCGAGCCAGGGAAGGCTCTAAAGACGCCGGCTCGAGGGACTTAAGGAGCTGATTTTCGATGGGTGAAGGCAGTGGGAAGAGGCGGTGGCATGATCCTCGTTTTACAGACTAGGAAGTCGAGCCTCAGGGGAGCGACGTGGCTGCTCCGCTGGCTCCACGAAGCAAGCGGGATAGGGAAGACCCAGACGAGCGGGCCCACGCGGACTCAGCGGCCGGCCAACTCAAGTCAGCCGGCAGAGGGCGCGGGGCTCTGGAAGCGCCGGCTCCAACGCGGCGTGGCCTTCCGACGCGCCGTCACACTTCCCTCTGTGGCTGCCCATTGGCCGCCTCTTACCGCCCTTTTCCGGGGCAAGAGTAGCTCGCTGCGGAGCCGGAAATAAGGCACCCTCGGGCTCGAGACAGCGGCGGCGTTTAAAGCTGGGCGACCCGGTGCCGTTGGAGACAGCCAGCTTCGCCACTCAGGCTCCTCCAGCCCGAGCAGAAGTCCCCCCGCAGAACTCTGGGTGCCTACGGAAGGCGGCCGAGCCGGATCGCAAGGTACCCAGAGCCGACTGATCGGAGCCACGGAGCGCTGCCAGAAGCCCCGCCCCTAGGAGTGATCGGGAAGCCTCATTCATCCGGGTGAGGAACCTGGAGGGACCGCCTCAGGGCGGAGCCCGCCGGCCATGGCTACGCCCCCGGGGGCCGGTCCTGCCGCTCTGCGCTTCGCCGCCGCCGCTAGCTGGCGGGTAGTGCGCGGCCGCTGTGTGGAGCATTTCCCGCGAGTACTGGAGTTTCTGCAATATCTGCGCGCTGTTGCCCCTGGCTTGGTTCGCTACCGGCACCACGAACGCCTTTGTATGGGCCTAAAGGCCAAGGTATTGAAGCAAGTAGGATCTAGAAGGGGAAAGAGAGAAAGGGGTGGGATGCGAGGACCTGACAAGGGCACACGGCTTGGGGATGAGACTAGTTGGAACAAGTCACCTTGCCCCGAGGTGGGGATTCTGAATTCAGTACCGCACAGGTGGTGGTGGAGCTGATCCTGCAGGGCCAGCCTTGGGCCCAAGTCCTGACTGCCCTGAATCACCACTTTCCAGAATCTGGACCTGTAGTGCGGGACCCCAAGGCTGTGAGTAATCCCTGGAACAAGCCCTGACCCCAGTTACACTTGGTGCAGTAAAGTTGCTCCTCCTGTCTACCGGATTTTGGTGCTAACTTGTCTGTCCGATATCCTCAACAGACAAAGCAGGATCTGAGGAAGATTTTGGAGGCACAGGAAACTTTTTGTCAGCAGGTGAAGCAGCTGTCAGACGCTCCTGTGGATTTGGCCTCGAAGCTGCAGGTGAGACTGGTTTGAAGGCTGTTAGGTGGCTCCTATTTTCTCTAAACCACCTTTTTTTTTTTTTTTTTTTTTTTTGAGAGTCTCACTCTGTCATCCAGGCTGGAGTGCAATGGCGCTATCTCAGCTCACTACAACCTCTGCCTCCCAGGTTCAAGCGATTCTCTTGCCTCAGCCTCCAGAGTAGCTGGGATTATAGATGCCCAGCTAATTTTTATATTTTAGTAGAGATGGGGTTTCACTATGTTGGCCAGGCTGGTCTTGAACTCCTGACCTCAAGTGATCCGCCTGCCTCAGGCTCCCAAAGTGCCAGGATTACAGGCATGAGGCACCATGCCTGGCCACTAACCCACTTTTGACCTCCTACTCTCCCTGCTGCAGGAACTTGAACAAGAGTATGGGGAACCCTTTCTGGCTGCAATGGAAAAGCTGCTTTTTGAATACTTGTGTCAGCTAGAGAAAGCACTGCCTACACCGCAGGCACAGCAGGTTTTGTTGGGGCAAAACATGTAAGGGCAGAGTGTGGGGTGGTTGTATCAAGGACTGTGGTCTTCATACCTCTATCCCTGCCCACAGCTTCAGGATGTGTTGAGTTGGATGCAGCCTGGAGTCTCTGTCACCTCTTCTCTTGCCTGGAGCCAATATGTTGTGGACATGGGGTGGCCGCTTCCAGGTACTAGGAATTTGGAGGTGTAGTGTTTAGCATGAGATCTTTTGAGGCAGCCTATTGGAATAGTTTCATGGGCTCCAGGCATAAGAAACCATTTACTCTGTTACTATCTGTTCTCTTTATAAAGGGCCTCATTTTCTTTTTCAGAGTGCTCTATTACTGACTCAGTGAACCTGGCTGAGCCCATGGAACAGAATCCTCAGCAACAAAGACTAGCACTCCACAATCCTCTGCCCAAAGCGAAGCGTGGCCCATATCTTCCCCAGGGACCATCTTCAAGGACACACCCAGAACCTCTAGCTGGCCACCACTTCAATCTGGCCCCTCTAGGCCAACGAAGAGTACACTCCCAATGGGTGTCTGCTAGGGGAGGCCATAAGGAGCGCCCCACAGTCATGCTGTTTCCCTTTAGGAATCTGTGCTCAGCAACCCAGCGCACATCTAAGCCTGAGAACAAGGAAGAACATGCGATATGCACAGCAGACCTAGCCATGAGCACAAGAGCAGCCCCCACTGGGAAGTCTAAGAGTCCAAGCCAGACCCTGAGGGGAAGGGCTCTGAAGGAGAACCCAGTTGACTTGCCTGCCGCAGAGCCAAAGGAGTGAGTGGAACAGAGTTAATTCTCCTTACTAGGAGCACATTCTTTGCCTGCCTTCCTTTCACCCTATCCTCTTTGCTTGCTCTCACCTCAGGAATTGCTTGGATTGCTACATGGACCCCCTGAGGTTATCATTATTACCTCCTAGGGCCAGGAAGCCAGGTAGGTAGTCTTGAGTCAGGATTGGATAACAGCCTCCTCTCTTGGGGACTCTGAAGAGCCTGTGTTCATCTAGAGGTAGTAGTTTGATTCTGGTTTCCCTCCTACAGTGTGTACTCCATCTCTGTGCAGCTCCGTCATTACCATAGGGGACTTGGTTTTAGACTCTGATGAGGAAGAAAATGGCCAGGGGGAAGGAAAGGTGAGTAGGAAGGAGCAGAAAGCTGGGGAAGTGGATGGGCAGAACAGGACTAAGAAATCCACATGCTTCAGAATTCAGAGGGCTCAGGCAATGGTTTCATTTGGTGGGATCTGCCTGCTCCCTTCTCTACAGGAGTCTCTGGAAAACTATCAGAAGACAAAGTTTGACACCCTGATCCCCACTTTCTATGAATACCTCCCCTCTTCTGGCTACAGTGCCATGCCTTCCTATGACTGTAGAGACAGCTGTAAACCCCTGTGATAGAACTAAAGTGCCCTCTGTATTCTGCCTGTCTCCTGCCTCCTCAGCTCTGCAAGTAGTTTAGTAGGAATGAAGTGGAAGTCCAGGCTTGGATTGCCTGACTACACTGCTAAAAATACTTTGTAATGCTGCTTAATTAAACCTTGGATTTGTTAAAATACTGCCTTGATGTGACGGAGGGGAATTTAGGTTCCCATAGGTCAGCATAAGCCATGCCTTAGAAACAGCTGGCCCTTCCAGACTGGAAGGATCCCTTTGCCTTTTTTACTTCCCTTGGTAAGTGTTCAGCTGTGCCCAGAAGGGTTAACAAGGTTGAGAGCCAGGAAGAGATCCTTTTGCTATTCCGGAAATATGTGTCCTAATGTCAGAATATACTTTGTAAATTCTCATGCTTTCAGATCATCTGGGGGTAATGGCACTAGAATGGAGATACTTCATGGAAATAATACTCATTGTCCTTGACCCCAGTGGGTCAGCGCTGACCCTACCGCCACCCACTCTGGAGCAGCAGCCAGATGCTAGCCTTGTACAGAAAGCCCCAGCATCTATTTACAATCAATGAGCTCTTTCTTTATTGAGGTATTTCAAATATACAAACACTTCTGAGCTTTTTAGATATCTGAAGGTCCCATTTAGTGAAGCTGATTAACAAAACATGATTCTAAAAGCCTGCCTCCTCTAAACCAAAGCCATGTAAAAAATTCACGTATCAATCAGCATCTTTTCCTTTTAATAATCTTCAGGTGTCAGGTCCCCACATTCCCATTTGATTATCTTGCATCATTTTCTCAGACTTTTCTTCCTTGCTTCCTCCCCAGTGAGTGCCCTGGGCATTTCGCATGTGCAGATAGCGAAGTACAGAGTTACTGCAGGAGCCCTCAAGAGTGAGCCAACAGGAAATGACAAAGTAATACAGAGCTGCAGTAGCTGGGATAGGTGAGGTGCCCACTTGGCATGCCCCGTGGTAGAATACTGGTGTCTTGGGAGGGCAGAACTGCTCAGGTCTAGCGCGCATCACTGAAGATTGGATTCACCTGCTGGGTGACTCGGATGAAGGTAGTTCTCCTGCTCAACTCTTTGAGCTTAGCTGCTCCCACATAGGTACACGTAGAGCGGATCCCTCCTAGGATGTCTCGGATGGTATGTTCCACATCTCCTTTAAAAGGAACTTCCACTGTCTTTCCCTCTGAGGCTCTTAAAGTTAAAAAAAAAACAAACAAAAAACCAAACAAAAAAAAAACTTTATCTTTTCCTTCTGGATTCCGTGAGCCGAGGGACTTTTCCCCAGACTCTAGCATTGAGCCCCTGTTCACCATTCTTCTCCAAGAACTGTACCATCCCCCTCTCAACAGCCATGAGTTCTGCCTCCATACTATTACTAAGTTCCTGAGCTACCACACATACCTGTACTCAGCCACACCCCCAGCATACTTCTTCATGGCCATTTCAGAACTCATTCCATAGAAGAGCTTGTACTTCTTGCCGTCCCTCTCGATAAGCTCACCCCCTGACTCACTATGCCCAGCCAGCATGCCACCCAGCATCACGAAGTCAGCTCCTGCACCTGCCACCATCATGGAGGGGGGAAAGAGATTATTAATATGGCCAAGGTGCCCATATGGCCACCCTCAGAATAAACTCACACCACATTCTCAGTCCTGACAATGATTCCAGCCTCTTCCTGGTTCTGATTCCCTAGCTGACCCACAGTCCATGCAGGCCTCATCTGCCCTGGCTTCTATTCCTCAGTGAGTATGATTTCCCCAAGATTTAAAAAAGAGGCTCTGGAGAATCCCTGCCTGGCACTTGCTTTCTCCTTTTGCTGTTTTCACCATCATCTTCTGGTCATTTCATTTTACTGTGCCCAGCTAAACAAGACTCATTTCATGTGTGCCAAGAGCAAAGATCTCCAACTTTAATGGGAGTAATTATCTCCTGGGAAGCTGTACAAAATAAAAAATAAAGATTTGCTGCCCTATTCCTCAGAGCCTAATATTTTTTTAGGTCTTGGTGGGGCTCAGGAGTCTGCACTGTGCAACTATCTAGGAGATGGTCAGATGGCCATGCTCACACTTGGAGAGTCTCAGATGTCCCCTGCTGGCCACCCCAGGTGATACCATAGACTTCAGAGTCACTAATTTATATTATGAAAGAATCTGAATGACTTCCTGAGCCTCTCTTATCCTGACCCTAGACCCTAGACCCTCAGAGGTGACTCATCCTCTTACAAAGAATAATCCTTCTGTGCCCTCAAGCTTCTTACCAAAAGCCTTGGCCACATCCCCAGGGCAGCTGCAACCTCCATCCTGCAAAGTAAGGAGCGCTATGAACACACAGCATAGATTTTCTAAGCCCTCGGTGATGTCCCAACAACGCAACTCAAAGCCAACAAGAACCCAGGAATTCTAGTCCATCTCTGCCATCTCCATACCCTGCAGAAAACCCAGTTCATACCCTACCCTGCCCTTGGGCCTTACTGAAATGATGTGGCCTTTGAGGCCATGAGCAGCATCTGCACACTCCATCACTGCACTGAGCTGTGGATACCCCACTCCAGTTTTCTTCCGAGTAGTACATACAGAGCCTAGGAAGAACATGACAAGGGTGAAAATGATGTGCTCCATAGGTGTTTGCCACTGCAGGGGTAGCCAGTGGCCCAGGTGAACCAGCTTACCTGGCCCAATTCCCACTTTGATGATGTCAGCCCCAGAGAGGATTAGCTCTTCTACCATCTCTCCTGTTACCACATTCCCTGCCTGAGACAGAGCAATTGAAATACAGCATCCTTAGGGTCAGAAACAGGTCATATATTGTCATATACCGTATGCCTGGACCATGACTTTCCAACATTATTACTAAGAAAGGATGCCTCAGTGCCCTCTACTGGGCCTTCTGAGGGCTTTTACACTAGCCACTTTAGAGAACCCTGCTCCCTACCCATTCCCCCAACACCAAGCCAAAGTAGGGGGTGAGTGGCAAATGTCACCACTGAACCTAGAGTAAAGCCAACGTCCAGGATGCACTTTCCTAAGACAACAAGGTGCTATGATCAACAGGGACACATGAAGTGGCATGGAGGAGCATTCAGTGAGGCAAAGGGAACTACTGGACCAGGCTCACATCTAATTTAAAGTAGATTTATCTCCTATTCCTCAAGAGACCAAACATACTCTGTTAAGCCATTCTGTCATAAAACCTGCCTGGCTTCAGGAAAAGGGAGAAGACATGGATGGTACTGTAGGCTGAAGACCCATTTGACCAGTTGTACTGGCTTCTGATGGTCATAGACACACCCCTCAATGAAGAAAATGGGGACCTGCCATCACTCTTCTAAGGTTGTAAGAAAATAAATCATTGTTTATGTGACCCCTTTTATGTGATTGTAGTATGTGTCCATTTCAGTGGGCAGATATCTATGTGCCACAGGTATGTACAGTGCATAGATGTTCCATCATGGTTTGGTGAGTGACGTCAGGGACACTAGATTTACAAAGACTATGAACCAAGCATTAGAGATACTGCACTGGCCAAATAAATGGACATTTTAAGCTTAAAACTATGGATAATCATCCAGTATCATGATTAAATGGACTAGGAATATCATAACGCAGCAGAGGAGAACTGGACTGATGTAGCAAAACGGAAAGGCAGGAAAGTGGAAAGATAAAAAGCACCGACCATAATAGAAACATACCATGATGGTGTGCTGGGGGAAGCGCTTCCGTACATCTTTTACAAATTCAACGAAGTGCTCAGAGTAGCCATTTGCCACATCCAGGCATATATAGTTCACCTGGGGAATAGCTTCCAGGATCTGTTCCAACTGCTCAAAGTCAGAAGAGCCTGTGCCTGAGCTGGCAGCCAGATGCTGTGGAATAAACAGAACCATTGGCCTATCAGAGATGATCTGGTGAGCAGCCAATGGGTCAGTGATGAGGGTTGGTCCCCAGAAAGCCAAAATATAATTGCTGGAAAACTAGGAAAAGGAAGGGAGCAGGGTAGGGCCAGTGTTACCTCAAGACAGTCAGGATTCTGGCTAGCAAACTCTTGCCACTGATCGAGGCTGTAGTGCTTATGGACAGCAGTGAAGAGAGAGAACTGGGGAAAAGAAAAGGGAGCATCAAAAGAAAGAAAACTTCATTAAGGTCTCTCTTTCTAGAAACAGACCTATTCTCTCTGAGAGAGGAAATAATTGAAGTTGGGGAGGAAACAACTTTAAGAAGTCGGGTTGAATTGGGATTTGAGTTCAACCTTTCTTCTCCCTACAAATACTGGTAGGGCTTTTTTTTTTTTTCCTCCTCCTTTTTTTTCTTTCTTTCTAAAGAAACTGGTAGGGCTTTTTACCATAAGCTAGTACTTGTCAGATATTCCCACCAAAGTACTGAGTGATCTATGTTGGATTTCATCTGCCAGCAAATTTACTGCTTCTGACTTTAAAGGTGACAAGCTGTTGGTGCAGTGGGACAGGCAGCAGACATGAAAGAACCATGAAGAAGTTGGATGGAGCCTGTGCTTCTCTGCTCTGACTCAGCCAGTCCTCCTAAGGTAACCTAGGACTAAACTATTTTTGGTTAGGTTCTCATTCATTTACCAGCAGTAATTCAGAAGGTCTGGATGCCCACAAAATACAATGCCTTAAGGTTGATAAAAGCTAATAAGGTGCTACCCTATCTCCATCTCTAGTGGAAAAAAGGATAGATTTCCTAGTTGGGGACATGGATCAAGCTAAAAAGTGTTTCATTCAATCCATTTTAATAAAGTTCAAGGATATAATGGCTCATCAAGTTCATATTCTCTAGCTCAACAAATTGCAAACAATATCTCAATAGCTGGAGAAAGGCATTCAAAAGCCATTATGAATGCTGGTGTTTGTGCTTTACATGTCTACATGCAAACAGACAAGAGACAGCAGTTGGCTGAGACAGCACAAATCTTGCATCTGACAGGAAACGCAAGGAAGACATGTATTAGCAATAAGCAAGTGCCCTACATATGTACTCAGAGATAAACACTATCTAGCTAAAGCTGATATTGAATTCTGCTTTCTCAACATTCTATCATCAACATACTGGTAAGCAAAGAAAAATCACTATAGGATGGAAGTCAGCAGACGTTAGAGATATACTGGCATAGTGTGGCATGATGAGCACATCAGATTACATACCAAGCTTAGAAAAAGATGTTTGCTTGCATCCAACCTTTTTATTACTATAAGACTTGGCTCTATCTCTAAAATCTGATTTCTTTACCTCTCATCAGCAATACTGAAAGCCAGGCTCAACATAAAGCATCAAGACAATCCCCAAAAAGGTTCATGTATTACAGCATGTCAGTTGACTCTGCAGTCAGAGTCGCCATTTCTGAACTCTGCTGGTCAGGGCAGATGGACAATGGACAGCACCAAGATTCCTAAACAGTTACTGAATGGCAATAAAAATAAAGTAAAAATAAAACTGCATAACTATCAACCTCAAAGAAATGACAAGACATTCCACAAAGACACAGCAATAAAAAATAGAAAAAAAGGATATGAACTCCTTAAGACTAACAGAGCCACAAACAGTAGCAGAATCAACCAGGGCTACACAGATCAACCAGCAGAGTGCGTATATTCTTAAAGTGCCCAGATAACTTTCTACCTTCTCAGCAACAAGTATAGAGGCAGGTATTAGTACTGACAGGAGCAGCATCTTCCATTTCAAAGTGAACAACTTGTATATAAGAAAAACACATCCCATTGGGGGCACATCCCAGAAATTCCCAGGAACCTAGGACTTAAAGAAGAGGAAGATTAAAAAAAGAAAAAAGAAAGGCAGAATTATTCTTTTATCAATGAATTGTGCTTATTAAAGAATAATCAAAAGAAAATAATTCCTTCTCCTAGGATCTTCTAGTTAGGAATTTTGAATGCTTAAACTATAGTTTCTGGACTAAAACAGTGAATGCTTAATGTGGACAATCGTACAACTGAAGGGATGCATGTGACTGGGAAGGGGTGACCTGGGTGGTGGGAAAAGTTGGCAAGGTGTACAAACTGCTAGACAGGACAAAAGGGAAAATTCTGTTCATGTATCAGAAAAATGGGAGTAAAACTTAGCTTTGAATCTAATTCAGATGGCCTTTTGAACTGAAAGGGATTTAGTAGTGGAAAAAAACTGTAAACAGAGCATCCTGACTGCTAACTGCCAGAGAGCTGACTGGGCATGGAGGTGGGATGCAAACACCTCTGCAGTCAGCTGGGCTAACTGGACACCAGTAGGGGTGGGGCACGAGGAAAGCCCTACCTTACAGAGAACCTTGGCCATCTCAAAGGTGCCCACAGTATCCATATTGGCAGCAATGATGGGAACCCCAATGTACGTCTGCTTTGAGTTCCGAAATGAAAAGGATCTTGTGAGATCCACCTGCAGATACGAAGAGGAAACTGAGCATTTCATTAATCCAAAAAAACGTACCGTATTAGGGCAAGGACAGGCGTCTTTCTTGGTTGTGGCCCACCAGAAGCGTGGAGTCAAGAAACAGCAAGTAGAGAGGCTTGCTCACCTCACTTCGAGACTTAAGGGTACTGCGTTTGGGCCTCAAAAGGACATCCTTGAAGTCCAGTTTCACATCGTTGTCGATATGAGGCATGGCGCTTCGCCTCGGGAAAGCGATGAATCTGAGGGCTGGAAGGCAGGAAGTCATAAGGACCAATCTTCCCCTGGGGTTTAACGCCCCGTTACGGCTGGCAGCCTCTGCTGTCTTAAGTTGTGGAAGGTCGGGCAAACGCCGAAGTGTGTTCCTGAAGCCTGTCACCTCGACCCATCCCGTGGCTGCGATCACCCTAGGGGTCTCCATCCCTGGTACTGTTTGTTGGAAAGAAGAGCTGGGAAAGGGTTGTGAGAGACCCTGACGGTGCATTCCTTACCCCGCTACACTTCCTTCTTCTATCCCTGCAAAGAGCAACGGGACAAGAGGCTGATTTAAGGGGACGAAAGAATGTGGGCGACTGCGGGCGGGGAGGGTTCATAACCAGCTTCCGGAATAGGGGCACTCACTTCCTGTTGCGTTGGTCCCGGCGGCAGTTGATGAAAGACCACCTTGCTTAGCGACTAGCCTCGTGCAATCCCGCTGAGCCTTCTGGGCCACGCCAACAGGTCCCTCTAGTCGCCGGCGAGAACTACTAGGCGACGAATTCCAGCTTCGGCGACGGCCGGGCGAGGCCTTCTGGGTAACAGAGTTCACGCAATGAGGTTGCTGCTGGATCCGAGGGACGGGAGACTACAACTCCCATGGTGAAACGAGCGGGACCGCCCCCTGGCACGATGTGAGATGTAGTTCGTTCTGCCCCAGCTTTTCGCTAGCTCGGGCTCGCTAGGGACTCTCAGAATCGCAGAGTTGTCATCTCGGCTGTAGCTAAACTGGATGCCTCGTTTTTATTTACAACGTCACTGAACCAAAACACGGGAGGACTCTTGAGCCTTTCCGGAACCCAGTGGAACGCGGGGGGGAGCGGGGGGGCAGGGAGAGGGTGGAGCCAGACAGTGACCCGGAAGCAGAAGTGGCCCTCGCAGGCAGAGTGCTGGAGAGCGGCAGCGGCGACCGGAGTGCTGGGAGCGTCAATTTATCCGTGTGCAGTCCCAAACTGGAAAGAAGATGCTAATTAAAGTGAAGGTGGGAGCACCTCCAGCCTTGCCAAGACGCAGTAGTGCTGCGCTGGCAGCTGTGCCTTACGGGATACATGGGGAAGGAAAACCACGCCTTTCCCGAGCCTGGAGGGCGCTGACAGCATCAGGGCTCCGCGCGAGGGGTGATGGGAAATAGGGGGACTTAGAAGGGCTTTGAGAGCGGGGCCCAGGTCCCTGGACCCCCGACCCTGGGGTCTTTTGTCGTCCCTGCTTTTTTTTTTTTGCCAGAACTTTGCTGTCACCCAGAAGGGGTTGGCTTTTGTCATATCTCACTGTATTCGAACCCCCTCAGTCATAGAGAAGGCCTAGCAGCGGCTTGACTCCCCCTTCTCTCAGATTCTGGGAATAAGCGTTGCTCTCCATTCTTCATTCCCAGGTTACCTGCTTCTCCCAGTCCCTAACGTAGGCCGCCTCCGAGCACAGCCCTAAAACGTTAGCCCGGGGAAACCGGGGCCTCCCAGGGGCTAGACTATGAGCCCTTACTGGTGGTTGCCAAGGTGTGGTATCTCAGCCATCCTACAGGAGCCAAAGCGGGGAGTGTGGTCAGTCAGCACCTGCCTTTCTGAGCCTGGCATCCTGGACCAGCCTCACTTCCTTGGCAGAGGCAGGTTAGTTACTGCTGCCCTCGTTCTTGGTACTAGCCGTGGTTTCCTTCATCTGCATCTCTCAACTCCCATGGTGGTTCTTCACCAATTTCCAGCCCTTATTAGTCCTATCTGCTGTTTCCTCTTTTGTGCTTTCAGACCTCGCCTCACCGCAACCTCCGCCTCCTGGGTTCAGGCAATTCTCCTGCCTCAGCCTCCTGAGTAGCTGGGACAGATGCCCCGACCTCCCCCCACCCCCCCCCCCAAAAAAAACAACTGCTGACAAGTGATGAAGTCCAGTGCTAGTTTGGCCTTTTTATAGCTAAGTAAATCTGTCGTTATTTCATCAGCTTCTTAGCATATTTTCCGTACTTAATAGTCATTCTTAACCTTCTCTTCTCCAGTCCTTCCAAACTATTTCTCAACCTTCTCTTCCCCAGTCCTTCCCCACTACTTAGCTAAGGTGTGAGGCCAAGTATTAAAATAGTTGTTAAAGATGATTGTTTTTCTTTTTTTCTTTTTCTTTTTTTTTTTTTTTTTTTGAGATGGAGTTTCCCTCTTGTTACCCAGGCTGGAGAGTGCAATGGCTCGACCTCGCCTCACCGCAACCTCCGCCTCCTGGGTTCAGGCAATTCTCCTGCCTCAGCCTCCTGAGTAGCTGGGACTACAGGCACGCACCAGCATGCCCAGCTAATGTTTTGTATTTTTAGTAGAGACGGGGTTTCACCATGTTGACCAGGATGGTCTCGATCTCTTGACCTCGTGATCCACCCGCCTCGGCCTCCCAAAGTGCTGGAATTACAGGCTTGAGCCACCGCGCCCGGCTGATTGTTTTTCAAACTTTGAGTAGCCACCTATGTAAGAGTCGTGACGTCAATTTAATAGGTGAATGGGTCACTGGCACCATTAATAAAAGAAAATAGGCTGGGCTTGGTGGCTAATGCCTGTAATCCCAGCACTTCGGGAGGCCGAGGCAGGCCAATTGCTTGAGCCCAGGAGTTCGAGACCATCCTGGGCAACATGGTGAAACTCCATTTCTACAATAAATACCAAAAATTAGCTGAGGGTGTGGGTGCAGGCCTGTAGGCCCAGCTATTTGGGAGGCTGAGATGGGAGGATTGATTGAGCCTGGGATGTCAAGGCCCTGGTGAGCAGTGATGGCACCACTGCACTCCAGACCCCATCTCAAAAAAATAAATAAAAGGCCAGGCGCGGTGGCTAACACCTGTAATCCCAGCACTTTGGGAGGCCGAGGTGGACGGATCACCTGAGGTCAGGAGTTCAAGACCAGCTACTCGGGAGGCTGAGGCAGGAGAATTGCTTGAACCCGAGAGGTGGGGGTTGCAGTGAGCCGAGATTGAGTCATTGCACTCCAACCTGGGCGACGAGAGTGAAACGCCTTCTCCAAAAAAAAAAAAAAAGAAAAAAGAAAAGAAAAGAAAAAAGAGAGAAAAAAAGGAAATATCAGTATAGTGCTAGGTAAGGATATTGTTTTGTCGATTTTTTTTTTTTTTTTTTTTTTTTTTTTGAGTTGGAGTCTCGCCCTATGGCCAGGCTGGAGTGTAGTGGCACGATCTCAGCTCACTACAACCCCACCTCCCTGGGTTCAAGCTGTTCTCCTGCCTCAGCCTCCCAGGTAGCTGAGACTACAGGCACACGCCACCATGTCCAGCTAATTTTTGTATTTTTAACAGAGACAGGATTTCACCATGTTTGTGTTAGAGACATGAAAAATTTGCTATTTGTGATATGCTCTGAAACTTCAATTCTAAGTTGATTTCATAACCCACTGATGGGTTAAGACCTGCAGTTTAAAAAATAGTGTTGGAAAAAAAATCAATGCTGTGTGTGGAAACTTGAAAAAAGAAATACGGTGTCCTATCACCTGTGGTCTTGCTAAAATGCTGGTTATGATTCTGTGGGTCTGGGATGGGCTCAAGTTTCTGCATTTCTCACAAACTCCCAGGTGATGTTGAATGTCTGAGGACTACACTTTGGATAGCAAGATTCTAGATTTTGTCTGTTTCTTTGAATCCATATTTATCTAGTACTTCTCCAAGATTTCCAGTCTTCTTTCCAGCAACACTTACCCTTCTGTCTTTAATCTCGCTCTATCTCCCCCCTCTCCCTCCCTTTCCCCCCAATCCCGTCTTGTTTGTTGCATTTCTTTATTAAATGCATAGGAAAGCAGTTATGTATGAGATAACTGTTAATCTCATCTGAAGAAAATACTAATTTTAAAAAGACAAAAACAAAACAAAACAACAAACCAAGGAGATAGCTGCTAATTCCCATGTAAGTGACAGGTTTTTATTTACAGTTCTCCCTTTTTTTTTTTTTTTTTTTTTTTTTTGAGACAGGTTCTCACTCTGTCACCCAGGCTTAAAGTGTAGCTTTTTTGGTTTTTTGTTTGTTTTCTTTTGTTTTTTTGAGATGGAGTCTCGCTCTGTCACCCAGGCTAGAGTGCAGTGGCGTGATCTCAGCTTACTGCAACTGCCGCCTCCTGGATCCAAGTGTTTCTCCTGCTTCAGCTTCCCAAGTAGCTGGAACTACAGGCACCCACCACAACACCTGGCTAACTTTTGTGTTTTTAGTAGAGATGGGGTTTCATCATGTTGGCTAGGCTAGTCTTGAATGCCTGACCTCAGGTGATTTGCCCACTTCAGCCTCCCAAAGGGCTGAGATTACAGGCATGAGCCACCGCACCCAGTCTTATTTTTTTGTTTTTATTTTGAGACATTCTCACTGTCACTCAGGCTGGATTGTAGTGGCGTGATCTCAGCTCACTGCAACCTCCATCTCCCAGGCTCAAGGGATCCTCCCAACTCAGCCTCCCCAGTAGCTGGGCTTACAGGTGCATGCCACCGCACCTGGCTGATTTTCTGTATTTTTAGTAGAGATGGGGTTTCACCACATTGCCCAGGCTAGTCTCAAACTCCTGAGTTCAAGCTATCCGCCTGCCTTGGCCTCCCAACGTGCTGGGATTACAGGCATGAGCTCCCCATGCCTGGCCGAATTATTCATTTTCAACTGCTGTCTCTGTGTAGCTGACTTCTTCCATATTTTTCTGTAAGATTTTACAATTTGTCCTAATTTAAGTCTTCTCTTGTCACCTTGTCTCTGTGGTTCTAAAATTAAGTATATAATCTTCTGTCATAAACCATATCCCAATACCAGTCTCATATGTTAATCCCATCAATTGCTCAGGTGTCTGGAATACAATTCTTTAGAGTGATGTAAAATTACATGATCCTTTTATAGGACCTAATTTTTCACTTAAAAACCTGTTTCTGTTTCATTTTTCTTTCCATTTTCATTACCCTCATTCTGGTCTGGGGTCTTATTTATATCTTTATTTCTCGAATACTTTCAATCAGATTGCCCTACTGTCATAAAGTGGAGAGTCTAAACTAAGAGATGATGTACAAAACCATAATGTGCAGGTCTTCCTTGAGCTTCTTTTTCATTATGTAATGTCCTAACCCCAGATCCTTCATTGATTTCCTCACTGCAGATTACTTTGGCAGCTGTCTTTACTATGTGAACCAGTTTTCTCATTATGTTTTTTAACATGCAATAAGATGTACACTTCTTGAGGGTTTAGTTCAGTGAGTTTGTTGTTGTTGTTGTGGTTGTTGTTGTTTTGAGGTGGAATTTCCCTGTGCCACCCAGGCTGGAGCGCAATGGGGTGGTCTCGGCTCACTGCAACCTCCGCCACCTGGGTTCAAGTGATTCTCCTGCATCAGCCTTCTGAGTAGCTGGCACTACAAGCATGTGCCACCACACCCAGCTAATTTTTGTATTTTTAGTAGAAATGGGGTTTCACCATGTTGGTCAGGATGGTCTCTATCTCTTGAACTTGTGATCCGCCCGCCTTGGTCTCCCAAGGTGCTGAGATTACTACAGGCATGAGCCACTGTGCCCAGCTAGTTCAGTGCATTTTTCACAATAGCATACGTTCATGTAATTACAAAATATAAACATTTGTATGCCTACCCCTCAAGAGTTTCATAGATTAGTTTTGCTTGTTTTAGAATTTTATATAAATGAAAGTATACAATGTACAGTTTTTGTATGTGGCTCCTTTCAGTCAGCATAATGTCTGTTGTTGTATGTATCTGTGGTTTATTCCTTTTTTTTTTTTTTTTTTTTTTTTTTTGAGACAGTGTTTCGCTTTTGTTGCCCAGTTTGGAGTGCAGTGGTGCTATCTCGGCTCACTGCAATCTCTGCCTCCTGGGTTCAAGCGATTGTACTGCCTCAGCCTCCCAAGTAGCTGGGATTACAGGCATGTGCCATGCCCAGCTAATTTTTTGTGTTTTTAGTAGAGACAGGGTTTCTCCATATTGGTCAGGCTGATCTTGAACTCCCGGCCTCAGGTGATCTACCCACCCCAGCCTCCCAAAGTGCTGGGATTACAGGCGTGAGCCACCACTCCTAGCCGGTTTATTCCTTCTTATTACTGAATAGTACTCATTGGATGGAATACTATTAATAGATAATTTGTTTAGCCATTCTCCTGTTGATAGGAGTTTGAGTTATCTCCATTCTGGCTATTATGAATAAGGTTTCTATAAACATTGTTATGCAAGTCTTTCTGTGAACATGTTTCAGTCCCTTTGGATAAATACCTAAGAATAAAATAACGAGGTCATGTGGTAGATATATGTAACTTTTTTTTTTTTTTTTTTTAAGATGGGGTTTCACCGTGATGGCCAGGCTGGTCTTGAACTCCTGACCTCAGGTGATCCACCCACCTCAGCCTCCCAAAGTGCTAGGATTACAGGCGTGAGCCACCACACCTGGCCATATGTAACTTTAAAAAGAAACCAACCGGTTGTACCATTTTATATTCCCACTTGCAATGTATGAGCATTCCAGTTGCTCTGTACCCTTACTAGCTAGTACCCTTGCAGCACCATAAAAATGCTGATGTCAGTCATTTTTATTTTGGCTATTAGTGTTATAATTAATGCTACATAATATAAATTAAAACACTATATATATAGTGTTATATAATGTTATCTCATTCCAGGCTTAAATTGATGACATTGATTTTCATTCACCATAGCACTTTGTTATTACATAACCCTTGGTGTTTGCACAATATAGCACTTCCTTGTTTTTTTATATTTATTTTTATTTTTGAGACAGAGCGTCCCTCTCTTACCCAGACCGGAGTGCAGTGGCACAATCTCGGCTCACTGCAACTTCCACCTTTATTCAAGCGATTCTCCTGCCTCAGCCTCCTGAGTAGCTGGAACTACAGGCATGTGCCACCACTCCCAGCTAATTTTTGTATTTTTGGTAGAGACAGGATTTTGCCCTGTTGGCCAGGCTGGTCTCAAGCTCCTGACCTCAAGTGATCCATCTGCCTCAGCCTCCCAAAGTGCTGGGATTACAGGCATGTGCCACCATACCCAGCTAATTTTTTTTATATTTTTAGTAGAGACGGGTTTTTACCACGTTAGCCAGTCTGATCTCAAACTCCTGACCTCATGTGGCTTGCCTACCTTGGCCTCCCAAAGTGCTGGAACCACTGCGCCCGGCTTAGGTTCATCTTATACTTGTTAAATAGCATTGAATGTGTCAGATCACAGTGTGATATATCAAGAATGTCTTCTAAAATTGTTCAGTTACTTTAAAACAGTTTTAATTATGGACAGTTTCAAACACTACAGCAAAGAGAAAGGTGTATGTTTGGAACAAGTTCGATGTATAAATCTTTTTCAATTATAAATTATGAAGTTTAAATATAGGTCTAGTATTTATTTGGGATGAAAATTTACCATTTGAATTTTTTTTTTTTTCTGAGATAGGGCCTTGCTCTGTCCCTCAAGCTGGAGTGCAGTGGCACAGTCACCCCACTACAGCCTTGAACTCCTAGGCTTGGGCAGTCCTGCCTCAGCCTTCTGAGTATCCAGTTGCTGGGACTACAGGCTTGTGCCACTGTCCCTGGCTAATTTTATTGTAGAGATGGGGATCTCACTATGTTACCAGGCTGGTCTCAAAATTCCAGGGCTCAAGCACTGTGCCCACTTCCCCCTCCCAAAGTGCTGAGGTGGGAGGGTTGTTTGAGCCCAGGAGGTCAAGGCTGCAGTAAGCCAGGATCACACCACTGTACTCCAGCTTGGGTGACAGAGTGAGACCCTGTCTCAAAAAGTAAAGAAAAGGAGAAAAATAGAAAGTGTTCAGTAAATGTTATTTGTGATTATAACATGATCGTCAGTGTATTTAGCCCTTCAAAAATACTCAATGACTGCTTATGTGTCAAACACTGGGAAAGTTTAACACTTAAAACAACTAGCTGTAATTGCTGTATTAATATTGGAAGTATTAATAAAGTATACTGGGAACTGGTCTACACATTATACAGGAGGAGATCTTATATTAAAGGGGTCTTGAAGTTTGGAGAAGGAGCAGGGGAGGATATTGCAACAAGGAAAACAGTAGAAGCAAAGAAATGCCTGTAAATTAATGAGCATAGTGTGTTTGTGGCCTGGATCACTGTGGACTAATGCAGATAGAGCTTTAAGAGCAAGGAGGAATGGGAGATGAGAATGGGTGGAACACAGTGTTTGTGACTGCATAATCGGTATAATTATTGTGTTTGAATATCACCAGCCCTTAACCTATGGAAGCAGTCAAGAAGACAAGAGCTGCAATTTAGGATTTAGGTAGAAGTCTATAAAGATATGGGGGATGCAATGTTGACTTCTAGTCTTTTTTTCTTTTCTCTTTTTTTTTTTTCCAGGGGGAGGGGGGTTTGACAGTGTCTTCCTCTGTTACCCAGGCTGGAGTACAGTGGCACAATCATGGCTTACTGCTGCTGCCTCTAACTTCTGGACTCAAGTGATCCTCCCACTTCAGCCTCCTAAGTATCTGGTACTACATGCATGCACCCCTGTACTCAGCTAATTTTTTTTTGGTCCAGACTGGTCTGGAACTCCTAGGCTCAAGTGATCCTCCCACCTTGGTCTCCCGAAGCCTTAGGATTACAGGTATGAGCCACCATGCCCAGCCAATTCTAGCATTTTTTTGTTTTGTTTTGTTTTGTTTTTTGAGACGGAGTTTCACTCTTGTTACCCAGGTTGGAGTGCAATGGTGCGATCTCGGCTCAGCGCAACCTCCGCCTCCTGGGTTCAGGCAATTCTCCTGTCTAAGCCTCCTGAGTAGCTGGGATTACAGGCACGCACCACCATGCCCAGCTAATTTTTTGTATTTTTAGTAGAGATGGGGTTTCACCTTGTTGACCAGGATGGTCTCAATCTCTTGACCTCGTGATCCACCCGCCTCGGCCTCCCAACGTGCTGGGATTACAGGCTTGAGCCACTGCGCCTGGCAATTCTAGCGTTTTGAAAATATTGCTTAGAGGTGATTCCTCGAGAATTATTTGAATTAATATTAATTTTTAGCACTGATATTTATAACAGAACAAGGTCCTTCTGACTTTTTTTAGATGCCTTTCCAGCCGCAGTGGCTCATGCCCGTAATCCCATCACTTTGGGAGGCTGAGGCGGGCAGATCACGTGAGGTCAGAAGTTCAAGACCAGCCTGACCAACATGGAGAAAACCCATCTCTACCAAAAATACAAAATTAGCTGGGCGTAGTGGCGTGTGCCTTTAATCCCACCTACTCAGGAGGCTGAGGCAGGAGAATCGCTTGAACCCTGGAGGCAGAGGTTGTAGAGAGCTGAGATCACACCATTGCACTCCAGCCTGGGCAACAAGAATGAAACTGTGTCTCAAATAAATAAATAAATAATAAATAAATAAATAAATAAAAGATACCTTTCATTGCCATATCATCCAAAAGAATGCCAATATTCTCACTGATTTTGGGGGACGGGAGAGGCAATGGAAGATGACTCATGGGATTAAGGGAATCAGATGATTTGAAGAATCTTGCTCTATCAAAGTTGGTCACAGCCTAAAAATATTTGATGAATGTAGGTATGTTCAAAGCCTTCTAATTCTCCAAAGCAATGCTGCTGAGAATATGCATCTCTCAGAAGGCAGTGGATCCCAAAGACCAAGAGGATGTTTTACCTAAAAGACAAATTGTACATTGGGCTTTAGGACTCATGAAACCCTTGCCTGTTTCAGACGCTGACCGGAAAGGAAATTGAGATTGACATTGAACCTACAGATAAGGTGATGCATGCCCAACTTCTTTTCATATACTTCTTGCCATGTATATTTGTTTGTGTATGCTTGTGAATTTGGTCCTTTTGCTCTCATGCTGTCTGCATAGCCCTTGTTCGTTCCATTTCCATGGTCCTACCCCTGAGCACCTCCTGACTACTTGTCTCTCTAAAGGTGGAGCGAATCAAGGAGCGTGTGGAGGAGAAAGAGGGAATCCCCCCACAGCAGCAGAGGCTCATCTACAGTGGCAAACAGATGTGAGTTTGGAGTGAGAATGACAGCATGGCCATCTTCTGTGAAGATGAGAGGGGCCACATACTGAGGTGGATCAGGCCTGTCTTTTGTTTTTGGTGCCTTAGACCCTTTGGCAATCTGGTGAAGCCTCAAGCCCCTTCTCAGAATAACATTTTTTCAGGCATAAAACAAAATATATAGAATTACAAAGAAAACTAATTATATTGAAATACAATTATCAAAATACTAAAACAAATTTGTGATTTAGTAAGTATGTGCTTTTTTATTAATACATGAGATCTAATAGCAGGTCTAATATGACCATAATTTTGAAATATTTTCAAGATACCTACAAACAATTATGATATGAAAATAGCTAATTTCTATTGTTAACAAGTTAATATATTGCTAATATTACTGTGGTTTTTGGCCTATGTTTAAAGTTAGAAGAAATGTTAAATTTTAGTTGTGGGTTAGTAAAAATAAAGATGGGATTTTTTTTTTTTCCTTGTTCAAGTTCACAGACCCCAAAAGAGATCCATGAAACTTAGGTTAAGAACTCCTGTTCTGGCTAGGTGCGGTGACTCACGCCTGTAATCCCAGCACATTGGAAGGCTGATGGGGGCGGATCACCTGAGGTCAGGAGTTTAAGATCAGCCTGGCCAACATGGTGAAACCCTCTCTCTACTAAATATACAGAAATTAGCCGAGTGTAATGGTGGGTGCCTGTAATCCTAGATACTCAGGAAGCTGAGGCAGGAGAATCACTTGAACCCAGGAGGCAGAGGCTGCAGTGAGCCAAGACTGCACCACTGCACTCCAGCCTAGGTGACAGAGACTGTCTCAAAAACAAAATAAAACCAAAAAACTGTTCTAAGTCTTTCTTTTTTGGCTTCCTTTTCCTGCAGGAATGATGAGAAGACAGCAGCTGATTACAAGATTTTAGGTGGTTCAGTCCTCCACCTCGTGTTGGCTCTGAGAGGAGGAGGTGGTCCGAGGCAGTGATGGACCCTCTATTTTACCTCCTTACCCTGTCGCTCATAATGAGGCATCATATATCCTCTCACTCTCTGGGACGCCAGGGCCACTGCCCCCTCCCCTGGATGCCCAGTAATGTATGTCTACTGGTGGGAGACTGTGAGGATCCCAGGATGCAGTATTCCTGGCCCAGTGGGCCCTTGCTGACTATTGGGTGTTAGTTTGCAGTCCTGTGTGCTTCCCTCTCTTATGGCTGTGTCCCTGGTTGTCAATAAAATATTTCCTGGCCTCCTGGAACCTTTCTTCTGTTGCACAAGCTGACTGAAATAAAAATGGACCTAATGCTCACTCAGTTATAACAGGCTGAAGGAGCAGGACAGTGGAAGGGATGGGGTTCTTAGAGGGATTATGAGACTCTAGGAAAGCCTGCTTAGTGGTTCGCTGGAGCCAGTTCCTAGTGGCTCATGGGAACCAATTATTGGCAGCTCTTTCCAACTCTATTAAGCGACTTCATGATGGTAGCTTGAAGTTGGCCATGGTAGGATTATTTACAGAAATTGGCAGACAATACAGATCAGTTCCTCCCCACAAACATTTACCAGTGTAGTGGTAACATGGATGGTGGAAACCTTAGGAGAGTGAATTCTCTGACTGTGGCTTCAGTGGACATTTAGGCCTGGCTGGAGAAAGCCGTCAAGGGTTTGGCTGACACTGCACTCTGGATGGAATATTACTGAGGGCTTTGGGTTCTACACTATGAAGAGGTTGATAATGGAGAAAGATTGAGTGGCAAGCTGTGATATATCGCTTGGTCTTGAGAAGAGGCAGGTGCTAGGAGAAAACGCTTCCCTTCTTACCTGGCTTCTTTATAGAATCCGGCAAGGCTGGATGGAGTGGGGAAGTAGGGAGGATGTCTGTAGCCAAATGCCTTGGGGAGACTTGACTGCTACGGTTGAGTGTGTGGTCGTGCTGGTACCTCACTGCAATCCTCATCCCCACCCAGTATCAGACGGCGCTCTTGCGCCGTCTCCAGGCTGACGACGTTCTGAGTGGCGACGCTCTAGTCGCCATTTGTCTATGGCAGGCTGGGTGGCTGTGTTAGCTGCCGGAGTTGCTGCTCTTTCTACCGCCCTGGGTGAAGCCCCACCTCTGCACAACGCCTGCGGTGCGGGTCATGGCGCGACTACCGAAGCTGGCAGTCTTCGATTTGGGTGAGGGACGGTAAGGGGAGAAGTTCGTAAGCCGCTCTCCTTTTCACATTCTTAACTGCAGCTCTCCAGTCCCTGCGCCCCCGCCCCCAGGCTGAACCTTCCCTCTCCGTCCTCTCGCAGATTACACTCTATGGCCCTTCTGGGTTGACACGCACGTAGACCCCCCGTTTCACAAGAGCAGGTGAGGTAGGGACATGGAGGACTGGGGCGAGATGGGGCCTGGCTGGGGCTGAGTGCACTCTTGCCCTCTCCAGTGATGGAACTGTACGAGATAGGCGGGGCCAAGATGTCCGACTGTACCCAGAGGTGCCTGAGGTCCTAAAACGATTGCAGAGCCTTGGGGTGCCTGGTGCAGCTGCTTCACGGTAAGGAAAGCAACTGACAAAAACTGATAGTGTGATGCCGAAGGGTGCATGCATGAGACTTACGGTGAAACCTCTGGGCTACAAAAATATGGGCGGTGCAAGTATGCAAGTATTTGCATATTTTTTCTCCTTGTATGCTCTCCTGTGCCTTTTAATTATTAAAAAGTGGGGCCGGGTACAGTGACTCACACCTGTAATCCCAGCACTTTGGGAGGCCTAGGCGGGAGGATCACTTGAACCCAGGAATTTGAGACCAGCCTAGGCAATAGAGGGAGACCCCATCTTTACCAAAAAACAAAATTGTGGTGGCATGCACCTGTAGTCCCAGTTACTTGGGAGGCTGAGGTGGGAGGTTCGCTTGAGCCCAGGAGGTTGTGACAGCACTGAGCCATGATTGGGCCACTGCACTTCAGTGTGGGTGACAGAGCTAGACCCTGTCTCAAAACAAAAACTAAAACATTGGCCCAGCACCAGCTGTGTCAAACAGGAAGGCAATGGGTTTAAACAGAGGCTGAGGATGCCTGTCCATCCTGGAAAAACAGCAAGTTGATTTCCCCTGATTATACTTAATAATTTTGCTTAATAAGTTAACTTAGCCCTGGCCCTTCACTTTGCTAATCCCATCTTTCACACTGTCTTGCAGGACAGGTGAGATAGAAGGGGCCAACCAGCTACTGGAGCTCTTTGACCTCATCAGGTACTTTGTTCATCGGGAAATCTATCCAGGCAGCAAAGTCACACACTTTGAGAGGTATGTGGAGATAAGGGAGGAACAGGGTGAGAAACTACCAGAGGCTTGGGGAACCAAGATACTAGCTTGCTTACCCCTGCCCTATCTTGCACAGGTTACAGCAGAAGACTGGAATTCCTTTCTCCCAGATGATCTTCTTTGATGATGAGAGGCGGAATATTGTAGACGTCAGCAAACTGGGTACTGAGCGATGAGGACAGCCATTTGGGGTCCCTAGGAGGGATTAGATACATACAGGATGGATAGTTTTCCCTATAGGTGGCACCCCCAAAGGTCAGAGTAATAATGGGGAGCCCTGAAAGCCTGATGAAATGTGACTTCTTATCTTTCTAGGTGTTACCTGCATTCACATCCAGAATGGAATGAATCTTCAAACTCTAAGTCAAGGGTTAGAGACATTTGCAAAGGCCCAAACTGGGCCTTGAGGTCCAGTCTTGAGGATGAGCCTCCTTTGAGGCCTATACTGAAAGGAAATCAAGAAGGCATTTTGAGGTGCATTTGTAATTTATTAAAGTTCATCTGTGTATGACAGAAGAGATTTTGCAAACAGTGTGGGTAGTTTCTATTTTTCTAGCCTGTGAACTGGGGTTGGTTGTCCTGAGGTGCAGAGACCAGAATGTGAGACATTAGACTGCATCAGGTTTGCCATCTAAATTTAGGGCAACCCCAAGTGCTTGAACCCATCCCGTACCATTTTCCTGAGCTCTGTAAAGAGCATGAAGAGTTTTCCCACTGACTCCACACATTGAGGTGCCATCACACTGCACATTTCCCTCAGGAGAATAAGCACATACTCTGGGGTGGAGACAGGACTGCCTTTTTATGTAACAGAAAATGATGCGGCCGCTTTAAGAGGAGCACGTCGGTCTGGGCTGGTGGCTTGGGTCACGTGACGGCGGTGGTCTGGTTTGCGCCTCTTGATGATGTCGCTGCGGCGCCCTAAGGAGGGATTGGGCAAGGCTGGTCCCTGTGTGATGAAACATCACCCTCCCAGGAGCAAGGCGGAAGTTTGGAGGACGCTGAGTGGCGGAGGCGGGAGAGGCGATGAGTGGTCTCGGCAGGCTCTTCGGGAAGGGTGAGCCGGGTGGGACTGGCCATCCAGGACGCGCTGGCTGGTGCTGGGGAAGCAGAGACCCCGGCGAAATTCGGCCGGACCGCTGCACGGGACAGGGGTTAGAAACTCGGGAGACAGGCTGGAAAACCCCAGCCGATGGCGGAGCAAGGCTCATCGCAGGTGCCAGAAGGCACACCTTATCAGGGCGACTTGTTCCCATTCTCCGTCCTTCCCCGCTCTCAGAGGGGAGAACTCAAGATCCGGGAGGGGACTTGAGGGCGTGGCAATCGTGCCGGCTCCCACTGTTAAGGCTGTCTTCAGCCCTCTCCAAAACCTTGTTCTAAAATACTTTGTGCTGGGCAAGAGGGATCCAAGGTGAAGAAGAAATACTGTCTTCTTGGTTGGACGTGGTGGCTCCTTCTTGTAATCCCAGCACTTTGGGAGGCTGAGGGGGGTGGATCATGAGGTTAGGAGTTCGAGATCAGCCTGGCCAATATGACGAAATCCCATCTCTACTGAAAATACAAAAATTAGCCGGGCATGGTGGTGTGTGCCTGTAGACCCAGCTACTCTGAGGCAGGAGGCTGAGGCAGGAGAATCACTTGAACCTGGGAGGCGGAGGTTTCAATGAGCCAAGATTGCCCCACTGCACTCTGGTCTGGGCAACAGAGTAGGACTTCATCTCAGAAAAAAAAAAAAAAAAAAGGCAGCTAGGAATAGTAAAAAGAATATTGGCTTTAGAACTCTTACTACCACATTTTGATTCCTGCACAGTCTCTTACTAGTTGTGATTTTTAACATCTTTGTGGTTGTTTTCACATTTGGAAAGTGAAGAGATAGCACATTCATTGTAGAGATTTGGGGATTAGCAATAACACAGTCAGGTGCCTAGCACATACTATGCATTCAGTGATTGGTGGCTAATATTTTTCCTTCACAAAATTTGGGCCCACTTCATTGGACTCTTCAGGGAAGAAGGAGAAGGGGCCAACCCCTGAAGAAGCAATACAGAAACTGAAGGAAACAGAGAAGATACTGATCAAGAAACAGGAATTTCTAGAGCAGAAGATTCAGCAGGAGCTACAAACAGCCAAGAAGTATGGGACCAAGAATAAGAGAGGTAATGAGGGAAAGGAGCCTATGGGGAGGGCCCAGATGGGAAGCAGGTGCTTCTGACTCTTGATGTTCAGGGTGTGGGCTGGGTCAGCCGCCCTACAGGCTTTGCGGAGAAAGAAAAGATTGGAACAGCAGCTGGCACAAACTGATGGGACGTTATCTACCCTGGAGTTTCAGCGTGAGGCCATTGAGAATGCCACCACCAATGCAGAAGTTCTTCGTACCATGGAGCTTGCTGCCCGAGGCATGAAGAAGGCCTACCAGGACATGTGGGTATGGGGGGACGGGTGGAGGGACCCAGGCACTGGGAAGAGTGGCTTGCTACCATACTTTAAAGCCTCTCAGAGTGTGGAGTTACAGTACGGATGTTTGTGATGGCTAGACCTTTGTCTGCCTCCTTGCTTCCTATAAGATCCTTTCGCTGGCTGGGGCATTCTAGGGAGGAAAGATGTCTCCTCTAATTCTTTTTTTGTTTTATTTCTTTTTTTTTTTTGGAGGTGGAGTTTCACTTTGTTGCCCAGGCTGGAGTTCAGTGGCACGATCTCGGCTCTCTGCAACCTCCACCTCCCGGGTTCAAGTGTTTCTCCTGCCCTACCCTCCTGAGTAGCTGGGATTACCGGTGGGGGCTGGGTGGTTATAAAAAAACCACCCAGCTCATTTTTATATTTTTAGTAGAAATGGGGTTTTGTCGGGCTGGGCGCGGTGGCTCAAGCCTGTAATCCCAGCACTTTAGGAGGCCGAGGCGGGTGGATCACAAGGTCGAGAGATCGAGACCATCCTGGTCAACATGGTGAAACCCCGTCTCTACTAAAAATACAAAAAAATTAGCTGGGCATGGTGGCGCGTGCCTGTAATCCCAGCTACTCAGGAGGCTGAGGCAGGAGAATTGCTTGAACCCAGGAGGCGGAGGTTGCGGTGAGCCGAGATCGCGCCATTGCACTCCAGCCTGGGTAACAAGAGCGAAACTCCATCTCAAAAAAAAAAAAAAAAGAAATGGGGTTTTGTCATTTTGGCCAGGCTGGTCTTGAACTCCTGACCTCAGGTGATCCACCTGCCTGGGCCTCCCAAAATTCTGGAATTACAAGCAGGAGCCACCATGCCCAGCCACCTTCTCTAATTCTTTTTTTCTTTTTTCTTTCACATCTGCAACATTTATTTTTTTAAGGAATGGATTTTGAGAGAAAACAATGTGGCACAGAAATATGGAACAGAAAACAAATACAAATATAGGCTATTTTGCTAATTGTTTTTATAACCACCACAAACTAGCACAGAGAATGCCCTGTACAAAACACAAAGGTTCAAACATCAAGGTGTTTTAGCAAGGCTGAAAATTTCAGTCTCTGGTATTTGGAATTTAGGCTGCATTCCTTGTTTTAGGATCACTGGGTGTGTGGCACGGTCCATGTTTTTTGTTTTTTTTTTTTTTTAAATGAGACAGTCTCACTCTGTTGCCCAGACTGGAGTACAATGGCCTGATCTCAGCTCACTGCAACCTCCACCTCCCAGGTTCAAGTGATTCTCCTGCCTCAGCCTCCCGAGTAGCTGGGATTACAGGTGCACACCACCACTCCTGGCTAATTTTTTTGTACTTTTAGTAGAGACAAGGTTTCACCATGTTGGCTAGGCTGGTCTCGAACTCCTGACCTCAGGTGATCCGCCCGCCTCGGCCTTCCAGAGTGCTGGGATTACAGGTATCAGCCACCGCGCCTGGCTGCCTTCTCTGATTCTTAAAGATCCTTCAGGAAAGAGAATGCAGCCTGTCCTCTCCAGTGTGGCTCCTTGCTATTTCTTAGCCCAGGCTTGTGTCTTTGCAATTTTCCAGGGATCTCTTCTACTTGATAGCTATGGGCTTATCAGTGTGACCCTACAAGGCAGGAGGGGTTTCAATCATGTGAGATGAGAAAGTCAAGGGGGCATCATTTCCTGATTTCTTAGCTGTCTATCTCATTCTCAGGGACATTGACAAAGTAGATGAACTGATGGCTGACATCACAGAACAACAGGAGGTGGCCCATCAGATCTCAGATGCCATTTCTCGGCCTGTGGGCTTTGGAGATGATGTGGATGAGGTGATTGGGGGTGAGGGGTAAGGGAATATTGGAGTAAGTATGGGACTGGCCAGAAGGAACACCCAAGAGAGGCTCTTGGAGCAAGTTTGGGAGGGAACTTCAAAAGTGGTATGTTTTCAGAGGTAGAAGTTTTTTCCTTCATCTTGAATGGTCTTGTTTTCCCCATCCAGGATGAACTGCTGGAGGAACTAGAGGAGCTGGAGCAGGAGGAATTGGCTCAGGAGTTGCTAAATGTGGGCAACAAGGAGGAAGAACCCCCAGTCAAATTGCCTAGTGTACCTTCTACACATCTGCCGGCAGGGCCAGGTATGCAGGGTTCTTCTGTTGTCTTGAGGACTTAAGAGGGTGGGAGAGATATGAGGAAAGATTCTTCTTCATCTATCCTGTCTCAAAGGAACCATACAGAAAGGGCTGCTGCTACAGTTGTGCAGGTTGTGAACTGCATACAGGCACCTACCTAGCCTGTGCTCCACTCAGCAAACTGTGTACCCTTGTTTAGGGCTAAAAATGGCAGGAGCAAGAGGCACCATTTTTCTAATTTGCACAAAGGTGCTGTGGGATTGAACAGCAGCCTAACAAGCAGAATGATCACACGTTTAAGGTTTTTGCTGGGGAGAGAGAATTCAGCAGACTCTGAAGGTCATAGCAGGGGATGGTTGGAATTGCTGAGACCTTAATGCTTCTCCTTTCTTTTCTCTGGGTATCTCTGTCCTCAAAGCTCCCAAAGCAGATGAAGATGAAGAAGCACTAAAGCAGTTGGCTGAGTCGGTATCCTGATAAGTCTGGGCTTGTCTTCCTAACACTACCTTTGTTGGTCCTTTTTCCTTAAGTGCCAAGTACTGAGCTAAAGGAGGATAACTTTTTGGGGAAGTCCTGCTAAAGGTGGTAGTGTGACCCTGCCTGAAAAGGGTCTTTTGCCCTCCCAGCCCTGGATCAAATCTGAAGAAGGATCTTGCTCCAGGAGGAGCCGCTGGGCTCCCTTCTTTTTGATAGCAGTTATAATGTCCTTGTTCCCAATAAAATTGGACAGACAGAATCTTAGTGTCTATACTACCTTGTTTACCCTTGAAGCTCTCCCCCTGGCCCTTGTCCTCAAGAGCCTTATTTTAAGCAATGAGTAATTAGAGCAAACAAGGGGGTTTGAAACAGAACAAATGGGCATTCCTAATATCTCAACTTATGTTCCAGGCAAGCACTGTTTCATCTTTGAATTTGGTTTGTCCTAGAGTTGCCCAGTTGCTGAGGGAAGAAACTGCTGTCTACCACTTATCTTAGAACCATGAGGAGACATCTCTGAGTCTCCCCTCATTGCTTTCCCCTTGTGCCTCTGCCAAGACAGTCCCACATTTCTTTTACAAAGCCCATTTTCAGGGAAAAGGAGGGAGAATACCATGGAAGAAGCAAGTAGCTTTACTACTTGGAATGGAAGGAGCAAGTAGCTTTCCTTTATCCAGAGTCCACAGTTAGTAGCTTTTACTACTAGAAGGGTTCGTTTGAATTCTGAGTCTGGGAGCAATAGTGTGAGGAGCCTTGTCTCCCTGCTATTGTTTCAGTAGTGGTTAAGGTGACACTGGAGGAGGGAAAAGGAACCAAAGTACTTCATATACCTGAATGCCTATTTCTTTTCTGTTTTTTTGTTTTTTGAAACAGAGGTTCATTTTGTCACCTAGGCTGGAGTACAGTGGTGCTATCTTGGCTCACAGCAACCTCCGCCTCCCAGGTTCAGGAGATTCTTGTGCCTTAGCTGGGCACCACTATGCCTGGCTAATTTTTGTATTTTTAGTACAGCCATGTTGAACAGACTGGACTTGAACTCTTGACCTCAAGTAATCTGCCCGCCTCACCCTCCCAAAGTGCTGGGATTAGAGGCATGAGCCACCGCACCCAGCTCGAATACCCATTTCTAAAAGAACTAACAGTGCGGCAGGGCGCGGTGGCTCACGCCTGTAATCCCAGCACTTTGGGAGGCCGAGGCAGGTGGCTCACGAGGTCAAGAGATCGAGACTATCCTGGTCAACATGGTGAAACCCTGTCTCCACTAAAAATACAAAAAATTAGCTGGGCATGGTGGCATGTGCCTGTAATCCCAGCTACTCAGGAGGCTGAGGCAGAATTGCCTGAACCCAGAAGGTGGAGGTTGCGGTGAGCTGAGATCACGCCATTGCACTCCGGCCTGGGTAACAGAACGAAACTCCGTCTCAAAAAAAAAAAAAAAAAAAAAAAGAACTAACAGTGCCATCACTTTGGACTATAGACAGACAGAACCATAATCAAAGTGGAGCAACCAGGGCTTTTGCCTCACTGCTTAAGCATTTAAACAGCACGAAGGTGTAAAATAATGAGCATATACTGAGATGAATAATAAAGCGTCCCAAAATAGTGTTAATCTGAGCACCCCATCCCCTCTGAGCCACATCATGGATTACACTATTGATTTAACATAAATGTCAAGATTATTGGTTAGCCGGGCGCGGTGGCTCAAGCCTGTAATCCCAGCACTTTGGGAGGCTGAGGCGGGTGGATCACGAGGTCAAGACCATCCTGGTGAACATGGTGAAACCCCGTCTCTACTAAAAATACAAAAAATTAGCTGGGCATCGTGGCGCGTGCCTGTAATCCCAGCTACTCAGGAGGCTGAGGCAGGAGAATTGCCTGAGCCCAGGAGGCGGAGGTTGCGGTGAGCCAAGATCGCGCCATTGCACTCCAGCCTGGGTAACAAGAGTGAAACTCCGTCTCAAAAAAAAAAAAAAAAAAAAAAAAAAAAAGATTATTAGTTAAAGGCTCTGGGCAGAAATCCCTCTCCTATCCCAGCAGTGTTCCTTGCTGTAAGATTCCCTTGAGAAAAGAATGTCTTTGACTCTAGTTGATGAAACTAAATCAGACTTAGATTTATTTTTGGTATAAAAGATTTTTAGCCCAAGACCCTCCTAATTGCTCCTCTCTCAGCCCCCTTCTTCAGCCATTTTCAGGTCGTAATTCCAAGGATTGGTGACGATTAGTGGTGGCGTGGGGCTGGCACATGGCCTCAAGCAGCCTGATCTCATGGGTGGGTTGCTCAGGCTGGAACTTGAGCACCCAGGGATCCTTGATGATATCCAGAATGGTGACACGCTTAGCAGCTTGGCGTAACATCTGAAGGACCAGGTTCTAGAGCAGGGGAGAGAGAGGTCTTGCCTGAGTTTTTCTCCATTGTGCCACACAGATAATGAGCAGCTGGACCTAAGAAAGAAGCAGGATAGCCTATCGTACCACTCATGTCAAATGAGGTGTGGCTCTGATTTTATCTTGGAGAGCCAGGCAGTTAACCCCCTGGAGGGGGAGTGAAAAGTTCCTTGCGGGGAATGCTTTCCATAATCCCCTTCTGGCCTAAAGAGGCAGAAGCTGGAACCTGCATATCAAGCAAGGTTTGGAGCCTACTGGTTGGCCCTTTATGCCTTCCATACTATTTTTTTTTTTTTTTTTTTTTTTTTTTTTTTTTTTTTGAGATGGAGTTACTCTATCACCCAGGCTGGAGTGCAGTGGCACCATCTCAGCTCACTGCAACCTCCGCCTCCCTGGTTCAAGCGATTCTCCTGCCTCAGCCTCCTGAGTAGCTGGCATTACAGACAGGCACCCGCCACCACACCCAGCTAATTTTTGTATTTTTATTAGAGACGGGGTCTCACCATATTGGTCAGGCTGGTCTCGAACTACTGACCTCGTGATCCATCCACCTTGGCCTACCAAAGTGTTAGGGATTACAGGTGTGAGCCTCCACACCTGCCAACTCCATTCTATTATAGGGCAGGAGCTAGTGTGTGAAATGGCTCTGGTGTGGGAAAAGCCTTACCCCAGGGTTGGGAGACCTAGGTTGGGTGACCTAGGATGGATATTCATCCCTCCCTGTGGGTCATCCCTGAGGCCTCAGCCCTGCTTAGGTAGCCAGTACCTTGCACTCCTGGGAGACGGTGAGGTTAGGTGGGAAAGTGACCTCCTTCTGAGTCTCTCTCAGCAGCTTTTTGAGATTGGTGTCATCAAAGGGCAGATGAGCGACCACTAGAGTGTAAAGGATGACGCCCATGCTCCAGGTGTCAGAGAGGAAAGGGTTGTAGGGCAAACCTAGTAAGATCTCCGGGCAGGCATAAGCAAAGCTGCCGCAGTAAGTCTGGCTGAGGTGGGAAAAGCAGTTCACTTGGCGGTAAGAAGCGCTACGACCCACATGGTGGTTAGAAGGCACCATCTTGGCAAAGCCAAAGTCCGATATCTTCACGTTCTCCTGCTTGTCCAGCAACAGGTTCTCCAACTTTAAGTCCCTACCAGCAGCAGAAAGGCTGGGTGTCAGGCTGGGAAGAGGGCTTAGTTTTAGACTGGGAGCTGAAGGGCCAGGGGTCAGAGGGTAAGGAGAGTCCAAAGTGAGGAGAAAGAGAGGATGGTATGTGAAGACCACTGGGAGCTCACCACTGTATTTCATAAAATGCTCTCCAGGATGGGCATGGTGGCTCACGCCTGTAATCCCAGAACTTTGGGAGTCCCGAGGCAGGCAGATCACGAGATCAGGAGTTCAAGACCAGCCTGATCAACATGGTGAAACCCCATCTCTACTAAAAATATAAACATTAGCTGGACATGGTGGCGTGTGCCTGTAACCCCGACTACTTAAGAGGCTGAGGCAGGAGAATTGCTTGAACCCAGGAGGCGGAGGTTGCAGTGAGCTGAGATGGCACCATTGCACTCCAGCGTGGGGGCAACAGAGCAAGACTCCATCTCGAAAAAAACAAAAACTCTCCATACCGTGAGTATTTTATCAGTATCCTTAACCACATGATTATAATAGAGTGCATGAATAGGCCTAGATATTTAGGAGCAAGTTCGAGAGAGGAAAAAAGAGCAGAAAATGAGAGATGTGCATAAAACCCCCTTGAGAGCAAAGGCCCCAGTCTGGGTGGCAGCGATCTCACCGGTGCACGATGCCCTTGCTGTGCAGGTAGGCAATGCCCAGGGTCAGCTGGGAGAACCACTTGCCAGCAAGGGGCTCAGAGCAGGCCCCGTAGCGCTGGATCCATTCCAGGACGTCACCACCCTGAGCCAGCTCCAGAATGATGTATACTCGAGATGTGGTCTCAATGGCCTGATAGAAGTTGATGAGGTACTTGTGCCGCAAGACTTTCATTACCTGACCCCAGAAGAAGGACCCATCAAACCTGGGAAGGGAGAACTCTGACTGCACTCACAGCCATCTCGTACCCTTAGCTACTTACTTAGAACTTTGCAAAAGGATCAACCCCTGAACCTCAGAGAACTAGTGGCCTGTGGGCAAACCCTATGTTTTGCACTTTTACTTTTTGTGGAGCTGGAGGTGAGTGGGTGGATGGGAAAGAGGTTTAATTTACATAAATCTTCCTAGCTGCTTAGTGAGACATTCAGTTCTGGTTTGGGGGTTTCTGGCCCCACCCCTTCTGGCCATACCCCTTCTGAGAAACCTCAAGCAGCTTAGTACCAAGCTCCAGTTCTCTCTTCCAGTCCCCTTTCTAACCTGTATCTCTCGGGGCAGGAACTTGTTAAGATAGTCGTCAGAGGCCTTCTTCTTTGAGATGATCTTGACTGCCACCATGATCTTCTGCTTTGTGTAGAAAGCCTCATATACTGTCCCATAGGAGCCATTGCCAATGACCTTGCCCACCTCATACCCATATTCATCCATGATGGAGTGGTAGGCTGTGGCTGTGGTGGTTGGTGCTGCCTCTGATACATCTACCTTCCCCATGGTGTTGGGCTTGCTGAGAGCAGGGAGCTTTACTACTTGGAAGCCTCCTATACAAAGCCAACACCTTGAGCCACTGAAGGCTAGGGTATCAAAGTGAAATAGGTCTCCAAATGCTTGCCTATATAGTCACACGAGTCTGGGATGCTGGGCTCAGCCCTCCACTAGCAACTTGGAGGGGGAAAGAAAAAGAAGCAGTTCTTTTTGTCTCCACTGGTTGTTGTTACTTCCTCCTTTTGGTTGCGGAACCCCTCAAGGTCTCATGTTCCGGATACATCACAATCCACCTCCTATCC